AAATAGGAAAAATATGCAATATGAAAATAATTGAAGACAAAATGTGTTTACTGAGAAAAAAAAAACAAGATTTGGTTTTTAAAAAGCCTTTTTCCAAAAGGTACATCTGGAAAAAGTGGGGTCATCTTATAATCAGGGTCGTCTTATATTCGGGCCAATACGGTATTTACTCATCTCACCTGTATAAAAACAGATTCAGTATTCCTCAAAATCAATAAAAACCGTCAAATGCAAACTCAAAAAAGAATATTATACAAACCTGCAATAATGAAATATGTTAAATAAGACAAATATATTTTATGCATTTAATTCCATTTGACATTTACATTTATTCATTTAGCAGACGCTTTTATCCAAAGTGACTTACAATTAAGAAATACATCAAGCGATTCATCATAAAAAGGCAAATACACAGGAAGTGCTCGTAATACAAAGTTTTGGGCATTGTTCAGATTAGTACAAGCTAGACGGGGGATTAAGGTAAGGTTTAGGAAGACGACAAATAGTGACGAAAGAGATACGTTTTCAGCTCTTATTTTATTAACCAATGTCTTTGTTACTGACCTTCGATGATCCAATTCAACCATTCATCTCACCTGTATAAAAACAGATTCAGTATTCCTCAAAATCAATAAAAACCGTCAAATGCAAACTCAAAAAAGAATATTATACAAACCTGCAATAATGAAATATGTTAAATAAGACAAATATATTTTATGCATTTAATTCCATTTGACATTTACATTTATTCATTTAGCAGACGCTTTTATCCAAAGTGACTTACAATTAAGAAATACATCAAGCGATTCATCATAAAAAGGCAAAAACACAGGAAGTGCTCGTAATACAAAGTTTTGGGCATTGTTCAGATTAGTACAAGCTAGACGGGGGATTAAGGTAAGGTTTAGGAAGACGACAAATAGTGACGAAAGAGATACGTTTTCAGCTCTTATTTTATTAACCAATGTCTTTGTTACTGACCTTCGATGATCCAATTCAACCATACTAATAAGCAAAAATGACACATTTGTGTTTCATTTTAGTTATTGCTGAAAAGTGTTGAACTTTCTTCTCCTGCGTCATATTCTTCATGCTGCGCTCTCTACTGTACAGACGTGAATTTACATTTCCTTCAGCCTGAGGCGTATTCATTTCACTTTTGTTGTGAAAGGGCCTTTATATTTGTAAAAGAAGAACTTTTTTTATATGAAAAACAAACAAGCAAGCCCTGCCCAGATTTAAAAAGCAACTCAAAATGAACGTAACGCATTACTTTCCATAAAAAGTAACTAAGTAACGTAATTAGTTACTTTTTTAGGGAGTAACGCAAAATCGTAATGCATTACTTTTAAAAGTAACTTTCCCCAACACTGGTAATAACATTTATAATACTACAAATGTTTTTGTTTGTTTGTTGTTGTTTTTTGTCGTAATTATTCCAAACCATTAACCGGTAGTACTTACACAAACATATTTACTTTTAGAATGCAGCTGCTTATTTAAACAGTAGGCAGCTCACTACACCAGAGGACAACTACTCAGGGCATTTGGCATTTTTCTCCACCAGGTGTCGGTAAGCCACCATTGATAAAATGTGCTCATTTAGAGACAAGAAAGAGAGGCTGATGTGTGTACTGCTTCCTCTAATGTTGAGAGCACACACACAATCACACAGAGAAAGAGGGAGAGAGATGTATTCGTGTGTAATAATGTCACCCGTTGCTCCCGGACATTAAACGGCTCTAGTGGTTTCTGTGGATATGTCTTTAGCTAACAAGAAATGGCTCTTTCCTTGAGATTCAACCTTTAGGCTTTTGGATAGTCATTCAAAGCATCTAATTCTCTTATGAATGAGCGGATAAGAGCTGTTTGAGGCTATCACGACTCTGAAGGATAACTGGAAACACATAAACACCTCCAGGGGTTCAGATAACAGAACACATGAGGAAAAACCACAGCGAAAACACTAAATGTTCAGCACATTGAGTGCATGAAACACAATCACTACATAACACTGCATAGGAACTGCTCAACAACTATACATTTAAACTAGTGCTGTCAAACGATTAATCGCATCCAAAATAAACGTTTTTGTTTTACATATTATATGTGTGTGTACTGTGTTTATTTATTATGTATATATATAAATACACACACATACAGTATATATTTTGAAAATACATGTATATACATTTATGTATTTATATTATTATATTTTGTATTATATATACATATATTTAATATATAAACATAACATTTTTCTTAAATATATACATGCATGTGTTTGTATTTATATATACATAATAAATATACACAGTAAACACTCATATATTATGTAAACAAAAACGTTTATTTTGAATGTGATTAATCGCGATGAATCGTTTGACAGCACTAATTTAAACTAATATTTGAAGCAATCTAAATTATATGAGGATTTATTATTAATTACGAATCCAATTGAGATTATATCTTACTATACGAGTTGTACATTATCATACATTATTGTGCAGCTCAATTAACTTTCTTGTTTAAAAATGCTTAATTGTTTGTAAATGTAAAACAAGCCAAAAAAAAAAAGATTGTTTACTTAGCTATTTTTTTTTTCTTTTATTATGTTTGTATGTACAGCAAATATGTATATATGGGGAATAAAGGATTTTGATTACAAGAGTCAGAAGTATTTAATGTAAAATATGCTTTCAGATGTGTGTTACTGTCAGGCAGCAGATGCATGCTGTGTGTGATGAACACTTACATGCTTCATCCGTGGCTCTAAAGCGAAGCCTTTGGGACTTGAGCGAGCAGCCAGGTGTTTGAGGATGTGCTTACAGGCCACAGACTTCCCAGAACCACTCTCTCCACTAGACAGAGAGACAAACAAAGCCAGAGAAAATAAAGGTGTGGATCTCGGTTTAATTTAAAAAAATGCATATGTTAAAGACAGCACAACATATATTACCATGACATAAAAGTACTTAATTACAGTGATTTGTTTTCTATGTTTTCCCAAAGAAAATAGTAAGACGAAAAATAAATGTAATTTATTCTTGTGATGCAAAGCTGAATTTTCAGCATCATTACTCCAGTCTTCAAGTGTCACATGATCCTTTCTCAGAAATGATTGTAATATTCTGATTATCAATGTTGACAACAGTTGTGCGAAATGCAACATGGAGAGGTTTATGACAGATTCACCGAGAGAGAGCAGCTGAAAAACTCTCCAAACTGCCTAAATGTTTTTCTGTCAATATAAAGACACATAAAACAAATCAAGAGAGCAGCTTTTTCAAAGAGCCCTGGGCGACCGTCCTCTGTGAATGTGTGCTCCTGTCAGCCTGATATATGTTTACCAATGGGAGATCTAACAGTAGGTCAGTGAGCTGTTTCACTCCTCTCCATCGTATGAGATGACACAGTCAGCCTACAGCAATATACCATCAAAAGCCTCAAGCCTCAAGACTAAAGATCCCTCTCCTCCGCCTGGCCTGCGGGCATCTTTCTCCTGAGCAGGTATCTGACCAGAGTCATCCAGAGGACATCTCTGTCATACCTTCACGTATCCCAATGCTCTACTAGGGGATTTGTTCAAACCACTTGTTCTTCTCTTTTATTCATAAGACACTGTTCGCCACAATATCTATACCATACACTTCCTCTATGCTTGTTTTTATTTTTTGTGCAGTTTATTATCTCTCTAAACAAATGTAAAGTAAACTTTTCACAAATCTACTATGGCTATTTTTTATGATACTACTGTCAACCACCTACATCATCCTAACTGAAACAGACCCTCATCAGTGGCTGATCTGGAACGCTACACTAGTACATCAATTCTAGCAAATAGCAGATGCCAAAACTGCAACCAACTCCAACAGAGTTTAACACTGGAACGTTGCTAAGCTAAAGACTCACAGATATTGGGTGAAACAGTACATAGTTATCAACCTTTTCTCTCTCTCTCTCAACCACAGTGCATTATCTTAAGTACAGGTGCATCTCAATAAATTAGAATGTCGTGGAAAAGTTCATTTTTGGGGAATGAAATTAATACTCAAAGAAGAAATTAATATTCAGCAAAGATGCATTAAATTAATCAAAAGTGACATATAAAAGTCAAGATAAAGTTACAAATGATTTACATGCCAATAAAATTATCTTCTTCATATATCATTGATAATAATAATAATAATAATAAATTATTATTATTTATTTTATTATATTATTATTATTTATATTATTTATTTATGTGGTACCAAATCAGTATTTTAGGATGATTTCTGAAGGATAATGTGACACTAAAGGCTTAAAACATATTAAAATAGCACACAATTAATTTTTTATTTTTACTAATATTTACCAATATTAGTTTTTAATGTAATTTAGATCAAACAAACAAACAAATAAACAGACAAACAAAAAAACAAATAAATAAAGTCCAAATTGTTAAAAGCTGGTGTACATTAACGTACATAAGTACATTTATAATTGCGAGTTTGTTGAGTTGAAAGAGTTTGTCAATGTTGTGACTGTTTATTCAAAGTTAACTAAACATTTAATTTCATTTTTTATTCTGGTTTTGTTTACAAAAAGACATGCAGAATCACCTTCTGTAACAGGCTTTGCGTTAGATGCACATTTATGATGCTTTAAATGCTGTCTAGGTAATCAGCAGGTTTTAGAATACGGCTAGCAAGCTACAACAGCGTTTTGAAAGCTTTGAATGATTTGCAATATAATTTTTTTCTAAACTATGTCTTCCAGCAGTATATTTACAGGGTGTTAATCCACACTACGACTCAACATCTAACAAGAGCTTTGGTAGACACATATCTTGTCTCGTTACTGCCATACATCCCACTTCATATTCTTGACGACGTACAGTAACTTTAATAATTACTCCACTGTTCAATGTTATGACCTCTTAAAATGAGCCATAAAGCACAGTCAAACAGCTCACAGTGATAACTACAGCCTCCACCCGCAGTGTGAAGAGCCTGGATGCTAGCAGAGACCTGCGCGAGAGAGAGTGAATGGAAGAAAAGCAGTTTGAGCAGATGGTTTTTAAAGGTCATTTGGCCTCCCACTAATCATTTTCTGGAGGGTCTGATGCTTTTTCTTCTCGTTTTTTCCATTTCTTTTGGAAATCCATTCTGGGTTGTAATTGAACTCAAGGGCACAATGCATTCCAGTAGCGAGTAGGTGTTTGTGTGTGTTTTTGTGAGCCCCTTGAACCAGCATTCCACCACTTTTGTTTCCCTGGTTCTGTAGTCACTAGCATGGCGGCAGTGATCTGCTCTCACCTGTAGGGTGAGTGAGTGTGTGTGTGTGCGTGTGTATGTATATGTGTGTGTGTGTGTTGGTGTGAAGGATAGCCCACGCAGAGAGGGCATTAAAGTAGCTGTCAGATCCTCTCTAGCTCAGCGAAACCGGGATCAGGCCAGTGGAGGAGCTCCAGAATGTGAAACAGGATTTAATTGCAATCAGAGATGACCGGAGTGCAAAGTAGGACACAGCACGGGCTACATCACTGCCCCTGCATCCATTAATCTCGCTGAGAGCTTTTAACAGGTTTGGATTTACACCATCCCCAGCACATTTGTCTCCGTGACAGCATTTAGCGAGAACTGCTGGGGTGATGCAGGAGTCTCCCAAACATTGGAGCAAGCATCTATAACGCATCTCATTTGAACCACTCCATCAGCACAGGATCACTTACTGAGCTGCGGACCGCCTTACCAAACTCCAAGCTGGTGCATCAATGACAGAAGGTAGAACATGTCCAGTGGAATGTATTTGGGAGCATGTGGACATGTGTTGTGGTTTATTTACCTTTCAACCAATGTACGTATATCCATTATTTATTTTTTTATTTTTTATTTAGTAATTTGTGATTGCAGAATAAGGGAAGGTATACAAAATAAATAAAATAAAATACTTCAAGGTTCCATTTGTTAACATTAACAATGAAAAAATACTTCTTAATCATTTATTAATCTTAGATGATGTTATTTTTTTATATTTACTAATACATTAGAAATCAAAATTTGTATATGGTAATATTACCTAATAGATCAAAGTTAACATGAACAGTTTTATTTTTATTAACTAGGGTTAGCAAAAATTATTAAATAATGTAACAAATGTGTGGTTCACAGTAAGTCAATGAATAAATGTTGGACCTTACAGTAAAGTGTTTGCAATAAATTATGTATTATTTTATTTTTTATTTATTTTAAGTTTATTAAACATGTTTATTAAACAACAAAGCCTTAACAAAACATTTAAAATGCCATAAAAGCTTGTTTATCATGTAACCCTTAAAAAGCCATTCAATTTTTAACATTGTATTAATTTCTTTCACTAATTAAATGCTCTATGTCTAAAATTTTAAAACACCCAGATATTCCCCTGATGAATATTTATATCTGATGAAACTTTTATAAAATGTATAATTTTCTGTTTTCAATTGTCCCCATTTTCAGATGCCCCAAAGTTTAACACTGTTATTTGAGATGCTTTGCCCACTCATTGTACAGGATTGGAGATTCCCATGGCTTTTGACTTCCTAACTCCACACATCAAGTATCACACAGTGAAGGTCGCCACTGTTGTGAACTGGGCCAAAACTGTCAGGCTGCAGCAGTGATAAAGCCACCTAAGTGAATATCATCTATTTTAGAGCCACACAACAGTTTAAGGCCAACAGTTTTAGGACATGCATTTTTCTAGTCATTGTGATTTAGAGCGTAATAGGGCATCCACCTCAAGGGGAATCACCACCATCCTACTGATGAAGTCATTCTGACGTAAGAATATACACAATGCAAATATAGTGCTTACTGGATCAAGAAAAAGATACTGACTGTGCAAATAAAACATGGAAATGTGAAGAATGTATGACAAACGTGGCAGTGTTATGCATGTCATTGGACGGCACCTGATGATGAAACATTGTGGGCGTCGCTCCTGCAGCATCATGTGATAGGCTCGCTCAGCTGAAGAGAAGATATGAGGCGGGAGAGAGGAACACAGACGACCACTGGAGCTCAGATACAACTGACTGACCTGAGAGACAGAAAGAGAGATGTTACACATTTACATAACACTGCTAATTTCCCATGGCCTGTGCACTTCATTACAGTGTTTGGATTGATATTCTTTGAGCGCTCTGGTCAGGATTAGTTCAAAACCTCTGTGCATTAAGCTCCTGGAGTTAATTAAGCCTGAAGCAATTAACGTAAAGCCTCTTTAAACACTCTTTAGACATTTAAAACTTTATTTTGTAGACAACTTCAGGTCTTAGCTGTGCTACCTTTTGCAAATGTTGAAGTCAAACAATTAAAGAAATCTAATGTTAAAACTAAAAATTCAGAATGCAGTCAACAGCAATGATGGCATTGAAATACGAGTATCACTAATTAGTCTTTTTTCTTACATTTATTTGCATGCTGTGATTGTTCTTGTCTTAGTTGCATTTATTTAAACATGTATAACCATGTTCTGCACAAGGATTGGATTCTTGTCCAGGTGACTGAAAACAACCTGCTGAGCAAAGTGGCTTTCATGCAAATTTAATTAAAACAAACACCTGAACTCAACTCAAATGCTGTTCTTTGCTGGTATCTTTTGCAGGAAACGCTAATCCAAACACAGGCTGGCAAAAAGTGAAATAAATAAGCTAGGAGGCCAAGCACAGAGTCTTGAGTAATAAGAGAGATGCCATATTTAGATCTGAATTCTGTGCAAGGCTAAAAGCCCTAAACATAAAAAATATCCTCACACAGCAAGAATAAAACGCATGCAACACTGCAGATTTAGTATCTGGCTATATTTCTAGGTGTTAGAAACAGAAAGGTTATGTGTGTTAGTATGTGTGTGACATGCAGAGTAAGCTAAATTTTAGCCCAATTTGAGGAAAAAAAAGCTAATGCTGAGATCTCATTACCCTTTACCACTGAGACACAGCACACATACTGTACACATAGGCTGTATGACAGAGCCATAGAGGACACAGGAAGGACAGAGGAAGAGTGAGTGAGACACAAGCTGTGTATGAATCACGAAAATTGCAGCCTTAACAGGCATACTGTATGTGCCATATATGCAAAAAAAAGATTAAAAGAAAAGAAACAAAGAAAACAAAAAAACAACAACAATAATAATACTGTAATAAAACCAAAAACTGAACAAATAAAGAGAATTCAAACAAAACACACAACTGAACAAAAAACAAGCATTTAAAAGAAACAACAAACACAGCACAAAAACAAAAACATGTACACACAGACAAACACAAAACCAAACAAAAAGATCATTAAAACACACAAAAACAAATAAAACAAAAAATTAAAATTAAACATTTAAAAGAAACGAAACAAAAACAACAGCAAAAAACAAACAAACAAAACAACAGAAACCAAACCTCACAAATAAACATTTTAAAGAAACAAAACATACTACAAAAAATAAAACCAAAAACAAACAAGTCCAAACAAAACATACAACTGAACAACAACAAAAAACAATAATATAAAAGAAACAACAAACACAAAACAAAATACAAAAACACAGAGAAAAATACAAAACTAAACAAAAAACAAACCAAACAAAAAAAAAACACACACAAAAAACAAAAACAGAGGAAAACACAAGTTTCAAAAACAAAGTTTACCTACTGTTTACAATGCATGTGTAGCATGTGTATGTTTATATGTTAAACTGTGGTATCAAATGTCCACACTTTCTCATTTGTTACACTGTTTATTTAAGTTTAAATTATTATAATGTTTTCTTCTATTATTTTGATCTTTTCATTGTTATTATGATATTTCTACACATATATTCCAAGCTTTGGCAATATTGTATTTTTTTACAGTCATGCAAATAAAGCAATTTTGAATTTGAAAAACACAAAACCAAGCAAAACACAAACCAAACAAAAAGCTAATAAACACACACCACACATTTGTTTCTGTGAATTGTGGGGACTGTCCCTAGACTTCTATTACATATATATACCAAACAATATATTTTATCCCCTAACCTTAAACCTACCCCTTACAGAAAACATGTTTGCATTGTTACACTTTCAGATAAACATCATTTAATATTTTTTAATAATATTTTTCCCCTCATGGGGACCTCAGGCCTGTCCCCACAATGTCAAAAATGTCAGGTTTTACTATCCTCATGAGGACATTTGGTCCCCACAATGTAGCATAAACAAGTACACACACAAAGAAATGAAATAAAACTAAAAAATAGACATTTAAAAGAAACAAACAAAAAAAAAAACATGACAAAAAAAAGACACAAACCAAAACACTCAAATAAACATTTAAAAATAACAAAACATGAAAAACAGAAAAAAAATGACTGATGGGAAACTTGAAACTTAGAAGGACAAGATGTAGGTTTTGTACTGAAGGACAGAGAACGATTATATAGAGTTTGTGATAAAGGGGGTCAGGTGATGTAACTTGAGCATGATGGTGGTCTGAGGTCATCACAGATGATGGTACATATGCCCTTCTTTCTCAGTGTGTCATTCTGACTCTGAGCCCCAGTCTGGAGGACACACTGGAGAAATCATGCCTGAAATGAGTCTCTGATGCAGGGGGCCAACGGGACAGACGTCACAATGGACCCACTGCATATCAGTTGTAAAGTGTGTGTGTGGTGTGTGTTTCATCTACTCCTCTGCTCCCCTTCACGTGCCAGTAAAGCGTTACGGCGGACAGATGGTCATCTTGTCAGCTTTTATTTTTCTTAGCGGTGGGTGGCACACACTGTGTGTCCCTGATGAGTGTGCTCTCATCAACTCTGCCTTTATGTGGACAGCCAGCTGTATTAGAGGGGACGGTAGTCGGGGCTGGACGGACGCTAAACTTGAGAACCTCTAACAAGCCGAAAGAATATACAGAAATAAATAGAGAAAGGAGGAGTGGATATCTGATGGGGAGATGAAGAGGGCACAGGAAGTGGGAGCTGTATGTTGAGTAGGCTATCACTGTCAGGAAGGCTATGAATAATTTATCACGAGATCAAGTCCTGTTTGAACTGAAAGTACTGTGCTGTGCTTACAGAGTGTGAACTAGAGAACAGCTTAAAATGACTAGACAGATGAATACTCTAAACCATAATGTGGATGAATTAAAAATGTATTTAAATGAAATTAAATAAATAAGCAAACAACGAATGTGTGACTCTGTACTTACCAGATTAGAGTAGATGGGTAGGTCCTTGTAAGGGTTAATAAGGAGAAGAATGTGTCCAATGTAAGTCTGAAAAGACAGAATTTGAAAAAGAAAGTTTTAGCCTCAACATGCCCACAGTCTAATGGCAAGGACTGGCTGAAACCAATAGTTTCATTCTGATTGGTTTGTGCTACACAACTTTTGAGAGCCTAAGGCACAATGGTCTCCTTCAAAATATTCTCATGTTTACCGAGTTGATCAAATGAGAGCTTGAACTAAAATGAGATGACCTAATCATGGTTTTTAAAGGCACAGTTCACCCAGAAATGCCAATTAGGTCGTTCCAAACCTGAATAAGTTTATTTCTTCTGTTGAACACAAAAATAGAAATTTTAAAGAATGTTGGTAACCAAATAGTTGCCAGTAGCCACTGACTTCCACAATATGAAAAAAAAAGTATTAAAGTAACTACCGGCAACTGTTTGATTACCAAACATTCTTCACAATTTCTTATTGTGTGTTCAATACTCCTTTTTAAATTTGCAAGATTAATAGCGTCAAATCTTTGAAAGATAATCAGAGTTTTGTTTGAGACACTGACGTTTACATGGACATCAGTAATCTAATTATTTACCTTATTCTAAACAAGCCAATACTATGATTATGGTGTTTACATGAGTTGCTTTTAGAATATTCTTTTCATGTTCCCGTTTTACATGTTATAGTACATAGTTTGATTAATGGCACACATCATTACGTCCCCATGTGACGCCATCCAACGTCCCCTCCGGAATTTCACTTATAAGCATATAGTTCGTCTCTGTGATGATGCCATGTACAGTTTTGGATGTTTCATTTTTAATTTTATGAAAGCTTCAAGTGCAGATAATTATTTGTACGTGCATACAGATGATGGCGGTGTTGAAGCTCTTTTATTTGCCGTCAAACGGTTGACCACTGTTGTATCCTGTCGTAAAAAACCGGGCAAAAAGTCCTACACGACGGTAATAATGTGATTAAGGTGTTTACATGTCTATACTGCACTTCAGTAATGCGACTAAAATAGGAATACTCCACATGTCTTAATTCGATTTCTGTTTACTTCGAATATGACTTTAGCCGGATTACGGTAATCAAAAATCTCTGTTTACATGGTAGATTCTTAATCAGAGTATTGTCTTAATCGTATTAATATTGGATTATTGTTTTCCATGTTAATGTACTCACTTAGTAGCTAGCAATTTAGATATCCACAAGCAGTGACATAGCGCAAAATCATAAAAGTAACCTAATAATAGGCCTAATAATAAGAATAATGTAACAGACCTACATTTATTTGAAATGCCAACTCCTCTTAATATTGGCAATAATTGATGCTTTTGACAATATCTCTGGCTATAGTTGACACATGATACGACAACCCAGCATGGGGAGGTTTTCGCGGGGCCACCCAACAGTGCGTGCCCTGTGTGCCCGTCCACGATGCCACTGTCCACATGTAGAACTGCATATTTGTTTTGAGCTAAACTACTGTTCAGAAGTTTGGTGCTGCTAACATTTCTTAATGTTAAGACTCATGTTTATATATTTGGTTAAAAAAAAAACAGCAAAACGGTAATATTGTGAAATATTATTATAATGTAAAATACCTTTTTATTATTTCAATATATTTTAAATTAAATGTATTCCTGTGATGGCAAAGCTCCATTTTCAGCATCATTACGCCAGTCTTCAGTGTCACATGATCCTGCGGAAATCATTCTAACATGCTGATTTGCTGCAAGAAACACTTCTTATTATCAATGTTAAAAAAAGGTTGTATATCTTTTTTATACATTTACAAATTACTTTTCTCCCCCAAGAATTATTTGCTAAATAGTAAGTCAAACGAAACACTTATTTGAAATACTAAGTCTGACCCCAAACTTTTGAACAGTAGTGTATTTCTATAAAATTATGAGCTATTACTTTAGTACAGGAAGACAATCTGATTACAAAGCCTGTCTCTGCTATTTGTAGCCAAGTTACTTTTCCATGTCAATTATTGTGGCATTGGCTATTTCAGATAAACTCTCCCTTAAACACCACATAATAATTCCTCCTGCAGCTGCAGTACAATGGCTCTCATGAGTCCTGAGGGTATCAGTACAGGCCAACTGCTAATTCATCACTCAAGAGGGTCAGCTGCACCAGCCTAAACTCTCACTCCTGGTCAGATTACTCTATTACAAGCCCTGTTATCATGAAGATGACAGCAATGCCTGCTGGGAATAGAGGACTAGGTTGCTGTTGTGTTATTCTAGTGTGCTCTCAATAACACCCTGAAGGTCAGTAACCTTTTAGTTTCACAAATCTTTCACAGAACATCTGATGAATACTGACATACGGGCAAACTTGGACCTGTTCTCAGAGGTTTGTGAACATTCTTTACCATGACAAGACTTTAGAGATCAGAGAGCACTCTTTAGAGGTACTAGAGAATATCTAAAGGTGAATGAACTAAACTAGCATCATAAGACTGGACTTCTCATCTTCTAAGCGAAACATCGATCAATCCCCTCTTATAAAGTGCGCGTCTGGCATCTCTCACTCTTTCCATCTCTCGCTAAATGATCAGTAACCATCATCATCTCTATCCATCATTGCCGTAATGACAGACATCATTAGACCCCATTACAGTGTTACACAAAAGACCCCGTCTCTGCTCTCTCCCTCCATATCGGCCTCAGTAGGGAGACTGCATTATGCCCCATTGTAACGTGTGGGAATAGCAGCAGCCATTAAGCATAGATTTGGCTCCGGTCATGAACGAGCACAGTGTGTAGTCGTCTGCCAGGCATTACTGCCCGCATGCAGACATAGACCGCAGGCCTGCTCAAACGATCCACGTTGAGCAGGGAGATAAATATAGAGATGGATTTATTCCTTCAATCGTATTCCCATCGATTCACAAGAAAAAATAACTCTCCATCAAGACTGAATAACAGACATGAAGTGAGGGTGTATACATGTAAGAATGGATCATCTACGGAATTGTCCATGCTGAGGATTGTTCTTCTGACATAAAAGCATTCATATAAATCAATCACTAAAGCACATGTAAAGTATTTGATTATAATTTTAAGCAAGGGTGTAGGTTTGCTTTTGTCATTGGTGGAGACATAATAACAGACTGAGTTTTCCATAAAAATCACATAATTTATCCCAAATTACTGTTGATGTACATAATGACTTAATTCTAAGCTGGAAGATTGTGTATTGTGTATCTTTCTGCACAATCTTTATTTGTCTTTGTTCCCTCCAGGTGGAATGATCTGCCCAACTCAATCTGAACAGTCCTTCATCTTCGAGAATCGGCTAAAAACACATCGCTTCCATCTTTATTTGACCCTCTAACTCTAGCACTATCTATTCTAATTCTATTCTTTAAAAAAAAAAACGTACCCCTTTTAGACTTACACTCTATTCATTTACTAACTGCTTGTTTTGTTTAAAAAATAAATAAATAAAATAAAAATAAAAAAACTAACACTAGCTTCTCAATTCTTTTTTGTATTCTATCTATTTATTTTCTTTTTATTTATTATACAATTAACAAAAAGCAAAAAAGGCCTCTAACACTAGCTTGCTCTATTCTTTTTTCTATTCTATCAGTTGTCTTTGTATTTATTATATAATTTAAAAACCCTTGCTACGTGTACTGCATTAAGCTAACTGAGACTTGTTATAGCACTTGCGTATCATTGCTCTTTTGTTGATTATGAATGCTTCCATTGTCCTCATTTGTAAGTCGCGTTTGGATAAAAGCATCTGCTAAATGTCTAAATTAAAATGTTTATTAGCACTTATAAAGCACATATTAATGCCTTATTCTGTATGACCATATTTTAGCTCTCTTAATTATACACAACTAAACTTAACAACTACCTTACTAACTTTTAATAAGCAGCAAATTAGGAGTTTATTAGGGCAAAATTAATAGTTAATATATTGATATAATGATGGCGCAAATAAATAGTTGAGAGTTAATAGTTGAGAGTCAATTCTAAGTAACAGATTTTTAACAGATTCGCATATATTTAAAAATATATTAATAATGAACAACTCTGGTGTCATTAGGTCCAAATTACAAACCACATTGAAATCACAGTGATAGTCACTGTGTTGCTCTATTTTAGCAATTGCCTCAAAAATGTTTGCAAATATAAAGAATTTTCAGTATAATACCCAGTCATATCCATCTATGTCTAGCCAATCGTTAACTGATATTATTCACAAAAGTCGACAGCAAAATAGACTGTTCAATTCTGAAAGAAGGTAAAAAACTGTCATATAAAACTAAACTACCAGTCTTTGGAGCAATGGCCCTTTAAATATAAATAGCAGTAATGGTTTTGACAGTATCCATTGTGGCAGAGATAGAATCAAGAATAACTGAGTTATTACAGCTGTAGGATTATAGTACCATCAAGACATATAATAATGTCAGTGGCCAAGATTTATAGTAGCAACAGCTATTGTGTTAACAGTAGCAGTAGCAACAGCAGCCGTTAACAGAGAGTCAATGTAAGAATGTCTTTTCATCTCCCCAGGGCTGGCTCAAGTCTTTGGCCTGAATACAGTGAGACCTAGAGGGCTGTCATCCAAACACCAGTCCCTGGCCATGCTATAAACAGAGGCCGTGGCCACTCTCCAAGACCTCAAGACCTCAAGATCCAGCAGTGTGTGTGTGTGTGTGTGTGTGTGTGTGTGTGTGTGTGTGTGTGTGTGTGTGTGTGTGTGAGAAAGGCACACTGGACCGGATGGCTTGGTGAAAGACCACATCTATCACAGTGTATGATAAAGGCTAGAATCCGGACATCAACTCCTTCAGGGTGGGTTAAGACAGAGGATGAAAGGCTCTTCCTGAACGGGTTAGACAGAGGGTTGGAATTCTAACTGTGTGTTTATTCTCAATTTGAGGATTTAGGAAGTGATATGATTAATGCATAACTCTGAGTAACCAACTGCACTCTTCATTATAGGCCCTATGATTGTATGTGTGTTTGTGTATTTACGTACATATATCTGGTCGTTAGCAAAGCGCTTCTGCATCTCGTAGAGCAGACTGCTGTCCGTGAGTTCACTGAGGGATGCAAGGTCATCATTAGGAGCAGGAGGCATTAGTTTCACCTGGAACACAAAACACATTCCTTATTACAAAATTGGAAATACTCAAATGATTCAAATATTCCAGTGTATTTTAAAGGCAATATGAAATTCTCCTTTGTATTCCACATAAACAAATTAACAGCATTTGTATTTGGAACAACACAAGTAAATATATAATAAGTATATTTTATGTTGATTTTTTGGTGAACTGTTAAGCCTACTTTAATAAACGTCCCGGTTTCATTGTGTATGATTTATCAGAGCATGTTATTCTTGAAGGGTTAGTTCACCCAAAAATGAAAATTAGCCTGTGATTTACTCACCCTCGAGGCATCCTAGGTGTATATGACTTTCTTCTTTCAGACGAATCCAATCGGAGTTATATTAAAGATTGTCCTTGCTCTACTAAGCACTATCATTGCAGTGGGTGGGTGTTTCTGTTCAACAGTCCAAAAGTCGTCAAATAAAGCGCACACATCCATAATAAAATGTGCCTCACACAGCTCTGGGGGGTGAATAAAGGCCTCCTGTAGCGAATCCATGCGTTTTTTGTAAGAAAAATATCCATATTTCAAACGTAATAAACACTCACTTCCGGTATCTGTCATAGACGGAATCCATTCCAGCAGATGACGTAGGACGTCGGTGTTGTGTGATTAGTGGCGAACACGGAGAGAGAACAAAACAAAACGCCGGTCATGAATTAGAAGTACAAACCAAGGATTTGTAAAGATGTCAGATGATTTCATTATAAGCCAAGAGGAGACTGGTTTTCCTTTGCTAAAGTAAGCAAACTTTGCTTCCTTTGCACCTGTAAACAAACTTGCGAGACTAGCATATCTCAGAGGCGCGCGCGCAACACATACGTACGTCCTACGTCATCCGCCGTAACGGCTCCCGCATACAACAGTCAGCAGAAGTGAGAGAAAAGTGTTTATTACATTTGAAATATGGATATTTTTCTTACAAAAACGCATGGATTCGCTACAGGAGGCCTTTATTCCACACTGGACCGGATGGCTTGGTGAAAGACCACATCTATCACAGTGTATGATAAAGGCTAGAATCCGGACATCAACTCCTTCAGGGTGGGTTAAGACAGAGGATGAAAGGCTCTTCCTGAACGGGTTAGACAGAGGGTTGGAATTCTAACTGTGTGTTTATTCTCAATTTGAGGATTTAGGAAGTGATATGATTAATGCATAACTCTGAGTAACCAACTGCACTCTTCATTATAGGCCCTATGATTGTATGTGTGTTTGTGTATTTACGTACATATATCTGGTCGTTAGCAAAGCGCTTCTGCATCTCGTAGAGCAGACTGCTGTCCGTGAGTTCACTGAGGGATGCAAGGTCATCATTAGGAGCAGGAGGCATTAGTTTCACCTGGAACACAAAACACATTCCTTATTACAAAATTGGAAATACTCAAATGATTCAAATATTCCAGTGTATTTTAAAGGCAATATGAAATTATCCTTTGTATTCCACATAAACAAATTAACAGCATTTGTATTTGGAACAACACAAGTAAATATATAATAAGTATATTTTATGTTGATTTTTTGGTGAACTGTTAAGCCTACTTTAATAAACGTCCCGGTTTCATTGTGTATGATTTATCAGAGCATGTTATTCTTGAAGGGTTAGTTCACCCAAAAATGAAAATTAGCCTGTGATTTACTCACCCTCGAGGCATCCTAGGTGTATATGACTTTCTTCTTTCAGACGAATCCAATCGGAGTTATATTAAAGATTGTCCTTGCTCTACTAAGCACTATCATTGCAGTGGGTGGGTGTTTCTGTTCAACAGTCCAAAAGTCGTCAAATAAAGCGCACACATCCATAATAAAATGTGCCTCACACAGCTCTGGGGGGTGAATAAAGGCCTCCTGTAGCGAATCCATGCGTTTTTTGTAAGAAAAATATCCATATTTCAAACGTAATAAACACTCACTTCCGGTATCTGTCATAGACGGAATCCATTCCAGCAGATGACGTAGGACGTCGGTGTTGTGTGATTAGTGACGAACACGGAGAGAGAACAAAACAAAACGCCGGTCATGAATTAGAAGTACAAACCAAGGATTTGTAAAGATGTCAGATGATTTCATTATAAGCCAAGAGGAGACTGGTTTTCCTTTGCTAAAGTAAGCAAACTTTGCTTCCTTTGCACCTGTAAACAAACTTGCGAGACTAGCATATCTCAGAGGCGCGCGCGCAACACATACGTACGTCCTACGTCATCCGCCGTAACGGCTCCCGCATACAACAGTCAGCAGAAGTGAGAGAAAAGTGTTTATTACATTTGAAATATGGATATTTTTCTTACAAAAACGCATGGATTCGCTACAGGAGGCCTTTATTC